AATTGTGCTGGTGGTAAATAGGCTTTATTCGACCCTCTTAGCTGCAAATGTAGGGGTTTTCTAATATTCATATCTTGTAAATCACGCCGAGCATTAACACCATCCTTCGATTTTCCTGCAACCCCTAATATTGTCCACAACACACTGTCACAAACATTCTTCTCTATATGCATCACATCGAGGTTGTGTCTTATTAGATTGTGCTCCCAATATGGCAATTCATAAAAAATACTCTTTTTCTTCCAGCTATGGGTGCGATGTCCAACTATCTCCTTCTCTACCTGTCTCCTATGCCTCTCCTTAAGGTCATCCCTCTTGTATTGGGTTAAAATACCCTCAGATTCTAATTGTAGCAACATCGCAGTTCCAGACAACAATTTTGGTTTGAGTCTGACTTCCCGACTACCATCAAATGATACTTTATCCTTCCGGAATTTATGGCCAGTAAGTAAAAATCTACGATGACCCAAGTACGATTGTTTCCTACTATGCTTCAACCAACACGATATAGTTTCCTTATTGCAACAAGGACATGCATATTCGCCTTTAGTGCTCCAGCCTGACAAGTTTGCGTATGCAGAAAAATCACTAATTGTCCACAGTAAAACTGCATGCATTTGAAACATTTGATTTGTTCTGTGCAATTTTACAAAAGTTGGGGTTTTATTCATAATAAACCTAGAGGCATGTTTGGCTTAGAGAAATGGAATGAATGTTAAATCATTGATGAAAATGGGACCTAAGGGTTGAAATGTTAATTATGGGAATTGACCTAATTACATTGTTTAATTAATTGGGATAATTAATTGTGAGGAATGAGGAAATGAAATGCATAAATAAGGTGTATATAGCACCCTACCTTGCTCAGAGAGAGGCAAAGAGAAAGCAAGATAGCTGGCATTTTCACTCTTGAGTGAAAGTTAGATCCATTTGCGCCCAGAGGCAGAGCAAAGAAAGCCTTAGATCTTTGCTTGACAGTCGAGTCGGAGTAGCTCTTTTCGAACAAAGAAGAAACTGGCTAAGATTCAATTGACCTATATAGCCACCAGTTCAACTAAAGGAAGTCGCTTACGGGCTTAAGGCAGCTAGGGACTCTGGGGCGAGAAGAAGCTTTTCCCGCATTCCTGTTGATGCAGAGATCAGACGAGAAGGCCCATCTCTTTACTAGAATCCGATGTGATAGAAGGAGCTGCTCTAGCTTAAGCTTAAGTTGATCCTTACTTAACTTAATAGAATAGCCGAACGAATTAGCCATAGAGCTCATCCCCGGTGAAATAGTTGATGATTTCTTGATGGTTGACTGCTATATCTTAATTAGAGAATCGACTAGGAACGAATACTTTGAGCTCTTCTTCATTTGCTACTGGAATTTTGGTTACCCAGCTCTCAAGGAAGTAGGTACCTATTACACAATCTCCAATTTCTCTCTTTCTCGCAGTGAGTGAACTACTAGCAATTCTCAAAAGAACGACTAGGGGAATTCTTAAATAAGAAGAAAGTCTTCTTCCGGTCACTCATGCTTGAAACAAATAAGCGATGCCATTGAATCTGTTAGAGGAAGGCTAGAAGAGAGTAGAATATCAAAGTATGTTTCCCCGGAGTGGTTCAAGCTTATGTGACCAAAGAAAGAAATATTATTCACCAAGAAAGGTAGCGAAGTCACCTCCATTCTCGATTTCTATTGCGACAGAGGGAGGTATCATAATAGAGTCAAAATCACGATTAGAGTCAGTCTTGGGATCAAGGCTTCTTTCCTTTGCTGAATCAGGAATAGCCGACTCCAGGTAAATGCTTTTCCCAGCTCAAAGGCGATGACTAGTAGATTCGGGGGTACCTAGAAAGCGAACAAATGTTCCCATGGTCATGATTGTTGACTAAACTAACCTTTCTCTGATTCCCCTTGCCGACTCTGAACTAACTCATGCTTGAATGTGAACAACCGATAGCACGGAAAGCTTCATTCTACTGATTACCTTCTTCCCTTCCAACTATTATAGTAGCAATGCCTGTCTCTGAGTTACGGAAAAGGTAGTTCGGTAAGCCTCGTCATCTAGTATGACCGAAGCATTAGCCCTGTCTCTATCCTTGGGCTAAGTGCCCATAGACTGGACTTACTGCGGTGAGGTAGCTTAGGATGATTAAACCGCCAAAGGAAGAATAAGAGGTTTCTGGGACGAGCAACTGCTTCCAATCCTTGATTTCCACACCGAACCACAGAGGAAGCGGATGAGGAAAGCAAAGTCTAGCACCCAGGTGTCAAAGGTCTCACTGACTAGTGGCAATTTCTCCCTAGCAAGTGGAAGGTAATCTTTTCCCAGAGAAGAGACAGATGACACATATCTAAAGATAGTGCTAACTGGGCATATTCCTTCTACTGATGACAATATGAAACTTATAAATCAATGTAATACATGGAGTGGAGGAGGTAACATAATACAGCATACAATTCTGCTTACTGAATCATTGAGCTTTTGTCTATTTGTCAAGTTTTCTGACTTAGGCATCGGAGAGGTTTCCGGCACACACCCGCCGGCTAGCTCACGTTTGTGTTTTCAGGTGACAAAGCGACGTCGTACGGAGGAGCGTGGACTTGGTCAACAGGATTATACGAGGAGAATTATTTCCTCCCCGTACAATATATATAAATTATACACATTTATTTGCATATATATATATATATACACAGATTTATTAATTCCATACAGATTTATATACAGATTATAACTTTATCCCCAAATTATACACATTTATTTATATATATATATACAGATTTATAAAAAAAAAAATTGCATATATATATATATAGATATATTAATCAATAGACATTCATCTATATATATATATATACAGAGACAGAGACAGAGACAGAGAGCATACGCAGAGAGAGAGAGAGTCGTCGCTGGAGCACCGCTACCTGTCGCCGTCGCCGCCGCACCACCGTTGGCTTGCTCGCCGCACCACTGCTACCTGTAGCTCGTTTGAGAAATTTGGGGGATGAAGTTAAGGATTTGGATTTGGATGAAGTTAGGGATTGGAGGAAAGAATCGAGCGGCAAGATAAAAGAGAAAAGCGGGGGAATTTTTATTTTTACTTTTTGCGACGGTATGTTTTAGACCATCGCAAATGGTAGTTAGTAGTTCGTAAAACGGCGCTGTTTCAATAATCTTTTTTTGCGACAGAACTTTGCCGTCGCAAATGGGCCACTGTTTGCGACAGCAAACTTATGCCGTCTCAAAAAAAGTTGTTTTTTGCGACGGGACAAAAAACCGTCGCTAATACTTCCGCATTTCCGACCCCTCCGCTTAGTTTTATTACCGACGGGACAGTGCCGTCGCTAAAGGCTTTATTTGCGACGGTTTTTGTGACGAGAGGCGCGCCGTCGCTAATTCTTCCGTGTTTTTTACTATGTTTTCTTGTAGTGAATATAAAATTTAAAGTAATTCTAACTATTTAATTTTCTTTTATATTTATTTAGAAAATAAAAATATGTAGAAATATAAATTATATAAAATTTATTAAAAAAATCAAATATAAATATAATGTAGTTGAATTATCATATAATGATTTTATATGATATATATATATATATATTAAATTATAAAATTGTAAAATAAACACTATTAATTAAATTAAAATATCAACTATAAAAAAAATTAACAACAACTAATTAAGAAGGAATCACATAATAACATCTAACGCAAAAACAAAAAACAAAAACAAAATATTAACGAAAACATTTAAACAATAGATACATCTCAATGAGTGAAGTGATTAATTATCTGTAATATGAGAAGAAAAGTAGAGAAACTCATCCAGAGAAATTTGGTCCAGAGAAATTTCTTTGGGCTAGAATTTCTCTGACCAATTTTCTCTGCACTGAAATTTCTCTGGACCAAATTTCTCTGGACCAATTTTCTCTGGACTGAAATTTCTCTGGACTGAAATTTCTCTGGATCAAGGTTAAGGGACCTTAGATATTATGAAAATATTGTTGAGGGACCTTAAACATTATGAAAATATTTGGTGTCCTTTATGCTATAAAATCATAATACCAGGGACCTTAAAAAAAAACCCCTTTAAACAATAGATACATCTCAATGAGTGAAGTGATTAATTATCTGTAATATGATGCCAAAATATAAAATAACTTTAGTGTTTAACAATTCAAAAAGTAACTCAAGCAATAAATCTAAAATTTAGAAGTTTTTCGAGAGTATAATTATTGTGTAGGTTTTTCTTTCTATGAATTATGATTATATAAAACAATGCAAGAAAAGAAATACAATTTCACATATAGAATTACTATAAAATTTAAACAACAAATTCATAATATAGATTAATATAGAATTAGTATTGAATATAAAATAATGGCAATTTAGTATAATAAAAAAAAAGCTTAATACCCTTGTAAGAATTAAGAAAAAAAAAAAACATAAAATACAAAATTGATATTAAATTTGTAAATTATAAAAAATATATGAAAAATATTTATTTATGTAAAATTATTATAATTTAAATTAAATTTAAATTTGTATAAAACTCTACCCACACTTCCAAAACAAAACGAACCCCCTTCTTCAATCATCCAGGACCCCCAGAATTTTCATCTAATCTCACGACACCTCCCCACGCAACCCCCATCTCGCGGTCATCGACGGCGACGATTTTCCACAACCTTTTCCATATCCACGCTACGCCCCCACAACTATACACACACGCACACACAAATACATACATACCTACATATGTACTATATTTCTATATAAGTATAAATTTTTACTAAATTCATAAAATATTCAGTGATTTCAGGCCCTTGTATTAATATGTCGTCCAAAAGACTAATCTACCCCTCAAAACTCACCCAAATCAGTCCTCTTATTGGGGCAAATTTGTATTTTCGCAACAGCCAGCTTATTATTTAATTGTTAAATATACGTAGTACAAGAGTGAAGAAACTTTAATTTATTACAATAATTATATTAAAAAATATATTAATTTATGAGGGGAAGTTTCAGACAGTGAGGTGATCCGAAATTTCTCTACTTTCGAATCAAACACCAAATCGTGAAGGGATCCGAAAAGCACAGAGAGAGAAATATAGATAGAAAGAGAGAGAGAGAGAAGAACTTACACTGTATCGGAATATATTTTGTAGATTTTTCACATTGATTGGTCATAAATTTACCTCTTTCTCTCTCTCTCTCTCTTGATTTGATACACTCGTTTGATCGATCTCTGTTTTGGTTTTGGTTTCACACTTTCTAGAGAGAGAAACTTGTTGGTGACTCAAACCAAGGGTTGTTCTTGTTTTTGTCATTGGGGTTTGTGATTGGGGGTAGAGATTATCGGGGATCGATGCCTGATAATCGACAGGTTCAGAGCAATGGAGGTGTTTCCAATTCTTCACCAAATAACCTTGAAGGTAATATATGCTTGAGTTTCAAGCAACAAGGATCTATACACTATAATCATCGCTTTCTGTTTGTTGTTTTGTTGTTTTAATATTCATCTACTCTCATATATACCTTTCCTTTTTTGCTTTTGTTGTTGTGTGTCTGTTTTATCTCTCAAGATTTGTTTTTTGTTTTTTTGTTTTTAAAATAATTATTAATGCATCTTTCCCTTTCTAGACATAGATAATAGCTATTTCAATTTTTCTATAAACATAATGTGTGTATATACTGATGTTGATTTTGACCCTTGAATGGATTGTAGAGGCCATAAGGCGGTTTAACATTCACCCAAATGGTATCCAGGACAGTGGCGCCACGGCTAATTCGTACCCGGATCGTCCCGGCGAACCGGATTGCATATACTATTTAAGAACTGGGTTGTGTGGTTATGGAAGCAATTGTAAATTTAATCACCCTACTTCTTCTTCTGGGCAGGTAAATACATGTCTTTACAAGTACGTGTGATTGGTTTATTCTGTTTTTCCTTTTCTGAGCTATCAAGTTTGATTTGCAATTGATAATTTTAACTGTTTTATGTACATTTGTTGATTGTATTTAGGTACAGGGTGGTCAGTACAAAGGTGAACTGCCAGAAAGAGTTGGACAACCTGACTGTGGGGTAATTTTCCCACCAATAGGGATTGTTCCCTTTCTACATCATTTGGTGTTTGTATTGACTTTTGATTAGATATTTGATAAATCAAGTAACAGGCTTTTTTTTTTGCATTTGTTTTTATGTGTATAATAAGGCCAAGTTTGGCTATACTAAATAACTACACGCTTTTTATCTTTTTATCTTTTTTTCATCACATCATCTCTTTATTTTTCTGCACATCTTTTCATAAAAAGACAAAAAGTGCACTTATTTAGGTCATCCCAAACAACCAAGTAAATAAAGTTAATCACATTATGCTCGCTGAAGAAATTAGTAAATAATTATATGCAGTGCAGCGCTGCGGTGGCATGATTTACCTTGTATGAGAATTTGAATTGTGATATCTATGCTACATTATAATGTTAATACCTTAGTTGGTGTGAATCCAAGAGTGATGCCATGTAACACACACTTTTGTTTCAAAAATATCACCAAAACTTATTGTTTTTACCATCCGAATACTCATTTCTCCATTAACTTCAAGGGTTAAATAGGAAACATCAATGGCTAACCCATTTAGTACTTGTTTCAGGTTTGAATCTTTTGCACCATATCTCTTTCTCCTTGCAGTTGACTAAGAGCATCTCCAATGGGATAGTTAAATTAAAATTGTGTTAATTGACAAAAAGTGATAAAAGTGAGACTCAATTTTGTTAATTTAGGGAGTGAATGGGTTTTCCAATAGTGTAGCTAAAATGTGTGTTAAGTGGATATAAATTATAAAAAAAAAAAAAAAAAAAAAAACTCCCCCCCCCCCCCCCCCCCTCTCTCTCTCTCTCTCTCTCTCTCTCTCTCTCTCTCTCTCTCTCTCTACCATAGTTATATAACGGCTGACACTAGCAATGGATTTAATGCATCCATTGGAGATTCTCTAAGAGTTTTCAACAGGTAGAATAGCATGCATAACTTGTGCACTGGCCGCTAATAAATAATATAACATTATTAATTAATTGGTTTGAAAGGCACTCCAATTGAAGTTGCTAATGGACTGATTTCAACCAAATGTTTACTGAAATGCTCGCTTTCAATTATATATCGGAAAAAGGAAGAGAGAGCTAGAAACTATAGATGCGGTACTTACTACACCCGATTGCCTATATATATACATTAAGTTGTCATTGGTAGTTAGTGTTGGAGCTATGTCATCCCAATTTTTAAGCACAACAATGTTTCTTTCTTTGCATAAGTTTCATGAGAAATAATTAATTTGTTTGAGCGTCAATTCCAACTTGTCAACCTTGTTATAGGAGTATATGCATTCTGATTTTGTTTACATTTCTTCTTTGAAAGAACTCAAGTGTCATTGGATTCTTAAAATCTACTGAGCTGAAATTCACATGCTTTTGAGCACATGATTCTGTGGTTACCTTAGTTGAACTTGAAGGATGTTTTCTCAGGTTTCAGTGCTTATCTTTTTATTTTGCTTAATGAAGTCAGACTTATGCTGCAATGTCTGTATGCCCTCTTTGTTTGCTTTTGAGTTTAGCTACTTATTTGACTTGAGAAACTTATTATGATGCTTTATTTCATGTATGAAATAACTGGGGTGCAGATGTTTTTTGGAAAAAATTGAATTCGACCTAGGGACCAATCACAAATGAACTTAAAAATTTGTGTTGGCTTTGGGTGAAGTAGATTAATGTGTGATATATGTCAAATTTCTCCAAAATTGTTTTAATTCTGTGATAATGAGAATGTGGTAACTTTGTCGACAAATAATTTGTTTATTTCTGACTGTGCATTGCAGTATTATATTAAGACAGGGACCTGCAAATATGGATCAACATGTAAATATCATCACCCACGGGATAGACATGGTGCCGCACCTGTTCAAATGAATATTTTGGGCCTACCCTTGCGTCAGGTGTTTGCTTCACTCTTGCATCTTGCTCCTCCTACTTCTCTATCATTGTCCTTGCAGTTTCATTTATTGCCATATTCATGATTTGCTACCCATGTATGCATACACTAATGCTATTAATCAAAGTTTTTGATATATTTTTTTCACCTAATTTTCTCAGCAAGAAAAGCCTTGCCCTTTTTACATGAAAACTGGATTATGTAAGTTTGGAATTGCATGCAAGTTCAATCATCCTCAACCTGCATCAGCTGGAACCGTCTTTCCCATTCCTGGATCTGCTGCCTACGGATCTTCAGGCTCAACAGTTGTTTCTTCATCTGGTTTGCATTATGTGGGAGGAGTTTCAGCATCGTCATTGCCAAAGACACCTTATTTATCTGGTCCCCGTGCGCAAGGCCCCCAGACATATATGCCTGTTGTTGTGTCTCCCTCTCAAGGCATTGCACCTGCACATGTCTGGAACACTTACATGGTTAGTGAATATTGTCTTGTATAGGAAAGTAGGCTGTAATATGAATTTTGATATTCACTTGACAGTATTCCTTACTAAGGAAGCGTACATGGTTTTGAGCTTTTTTCGTTCTTTTTCTTTTTTATTTTTTAAATTCAGTACTCAGGTCAGATATTGGTTCCAGGGTTGGGTTTATTTTCTTTTGTTCTAGTATTTATATATTTATTTTTTTTGATTTTTAACTATGGTTTTTTGTTTATGTCTAGGAAAGTATTTGTTTACTTTTTCATTTTCACCATCTCTCCCCTTCTTTGTTAAAGTGCATCTGTTCAACATGAATCTCCGTGACGACAGTGTTGTTATACCTAGAAATGTAAACTATTATTATCTCACTGTACAAGCAAAATATTAATTCTTCTTCTTGAATTTTTTAGCTGCATAGGTTAATTATGAAGCCACCGTGACAATATTTTGTGCTTAGAAATGTAACAGTAGTATCATCTCTCATAGTGTACAAATAATGGATTTCATCCCCTTAAATGTTGACTTCTTGAGTATTGAACCATTTTCTTGCTAGTTACTGGTGACTAGATTGCAGCTGACCTGCTTGTGTTGTATAATCCTCAACTTAGTGACAAATATTACTTACAAATGCTTGGTGATTTGGGCCATACCATTTTTGGAGCACCTACTGTTCACTTTTCCCTTCTTGTTCCTGTTATTGTGGCCCGATAAACTTGATTCTGCAATTATCAGTAAGATAAATATCTTACTTCCTGACATCCATATTTATTGATATGAAAAGTATCCAGAATTATTTTTTTGTTCTTTGGCCATCATGAATTTTTTGTAGACTAATTTTTTTTTCTCTTACAAGGGTGGAATATCGAATAGGTTTTCTTTAGACATAGGTATATACCACACTATAGTTTTCTTTTTCCAATAGTTTTTTTATTTATTTTTATTTTTTATTTTTTATTTTTATGTTAATGGGATCATATTGCAAGCATATATCCATAAATGAACATGTTTATCTTTATTTTTCAATGCTTATAATGCACTCTTTTGTGGGAATATTGTTAAAGAAATATTGTGGAAAGTTATATAAACTTGAATAGGTTTTGTTAAGTAAGGGTCATCAGAAAGAATTCTCGTTACAAGATAGTCACATGGTTTATACATCTATCTCGAAGTTATTTAGGTTTTACGACCTAGAAATAAACTGGCCCTGGCATTATTAATTTATTGCATCTGTTTCTTACAATATGGGAAAGTTCATCTGTGTGAAACAGTGGAATATGGCCCCTTGGCCATTCTTTACAACGAGTCTGCTGTTCTTGTAAGGATCGTATTAACAGCTATGGCTTTACCTGTTTGAAGGGGCTATGTGAAGACTGAAGAATTACGTGGGTGTCCAAATCTGTTAGTTCATTAAGCAATTAAGCATTCATTGCTTCAGGAGCTTTTGTTGTCTTTATCATATCCTTCTTTGGATGTGAAGCTCCTTTTTAATTACTGCTTTAACAGAGCATCCCGGTTCTTCTGCTATATCCAACATAAGCATCCACCTAGAGAAGCACGTTTGCATACTGTTCATTTGGACAACTGATTTATGATTTGGTTTTAATTGAGCCAACAATTGAGTCTTCAGGATGTACTTACTATAGAATGTATATGTGATTTCTCTCTGTACTGCCAGTGGATCTTAAAAGTTTGGAAGGTTATAGTTGGTTTAGTTGTTTATCAATTTTCTGTGCATTCAAGTTTTACGTTTTAACTGTCCTCATAATAAATATGTATGGAGTATTGTGTTAAAACTTACAATCTTGAATTTATCGCAGCTGATAAAGTTCCACTGATGAGCTTAGTTATGCAATTTGTGTAGTTATTTGTCTTGTTATTTGTGAACTGTTGGTGCTAACAATTCAAGATGCATAGCCATCTTTCTAGCATGTTCTGCTGGTTATGTGAGTCAGAATATTGGTTTTTGTTGAACGAGAAGGTTTTCAAAATTGGTAGTTACTGATTTTCTGAATGATATATATATATATATTATGTGTTTTGTTATATCGGTTCTCTTATGATGTCTTCGTTGCAATCATTCTTTTATTTAACTTTTTGGCAACATTTAAGGTTTTATTTTGTGTTTTCTGAAATATGCTAGGAGGAATATTGTTATTGCATCAGGATGAGATTTTTTGAATTGATTTCTAGTGTTTTAATGTGAACCAGGGATGCATGAGTCATGTATCTTCTACCAGTTATCTTGGATCTGATTTTGTTTATAACTCCAAGAATCAGGGCGAGTCGGGTTCCATTGGCATGGTGCATATGTTACCTACATCCATTCCTCATCTACCTGAGAGACCGGATCAACCAGAATGCCGGCATTACATGAGCACCGGAAGCTGCAAATATGGATTTGATTGCAAGTACAATCACCCAAGAGAAAGGATTGCTCAATTGGCAACAAATTCTTTAGGACCACTTGGGCTTCCATTGAGACCTGTAAGTTGTATCCTTTATTCATACGCAGTATGCATTTCAGTTCGGTACTATATGCATTAGAACTAGCTTCAACAATAATTTAATCAATCTGAACGATGGGTCTTACTGAATTTTAGAATTTGATCTTCCCATATTTGTCTTGACTCTATATCTTTTCCATGCAGGGGCAAGCTGTTTGTTCATACTACAACTTGTATGGACTATGTAAGTATGGCCCGACTTGCAAATTTGATCACCCTATGACAGGATATCCTTATAACTATGGTTTGAGTTATCTCCTTTGCTCGATTCGCCCACAGGTATGGAAAGAGCTACGAGACTCCCGAAGAAATGAAGCTACGGTTCTCGATTTTCTCGGAGAACTTGAAGCTCATCAAATCGCACAACAAACAGAAACATCTCCCTCTAAACCATCTAAGGTTCCTGACTGGGTAAGGAAATCTGAATCTGCAAGCAACAAAAATCATAACTTGGATACTGAAAATTCATCAGAACATGCTGGTTCTCCACCACATCCCACACCGATTTCTTCAGAACTTCCACATGATCATTCTGATTGATGTTACTTTCTCTGCCTTTTACTCAAACTATTCGTTTTGCTGTTGAGTTCGTTGGATAAAAACACTTGATGACTTGTGCCTCCAGGCCCCCTTTTCACCTGCGATTGTTTGGAATGGGATAGGTCGTTTGTGGGTTCAATGGGATGAGGGAAAGATGGGGGGGCTGTGGAAGGCTCTTTTTGTGGTGAATAAAATGCAGGTGAAGAAATTGTAAGATTCCTTTTCCCTTCTTTATTTTTCCCTCAGTAAATTTTCACATTTCTGCAGATTATGTGTCCTGTGAGATTTCATCAGAAGCGATTGTTGTTGAATGTGAAAGTTTGGAATTTTATATCTCCCCAATACTTTCTTTTATATGACATTAAGGCAACGTTTACGGTTTTTTTTGTTTATGTTTACGAAAATTTTATAAATTGGTTTTTATTTATTTTTAAAAAAATATAAACTATAAACGCGTTTGGTTTGAACAAAATATTTGAAAAATTTTAAAAATATAAATTGAAAAATATGTTTGTTCAAGTTTAAATATTTATATTTATTTTTTGTTATTTATGATAATGGGATCATACATATTATAATTGAAAAAAAAAATTAATTAAAAAAAATATTTGAAAAAAAAATTTGTTAGTCAAATTTTTAAATTTTTGTTTAAAAATCAATTTAAACTTATTTTTTGAGTTTATATTTTTTATTCAAATTTATAAACAGAGATAACTATTTATGAACTAAAAAAGTTATCAAACAAGTTATGGTAATTTTAAAAAAAATTGTAAATATGAAGTGAAGATTGAGAATGAAATGGTTATCTAACATGTCCTAAATGTACAAGCCCGAGGAACTAAAATATTTGAGATGAGAAATTTCAGGAGCCTTTAGATGTTACTCTACATAGATGAAACTGATAAACCATCTTTATAGAAAAGTCACTTGTTGCTGTGTTTCTGTGCTGTAAATGAAATATTAGAAAGGAAGAAGACAATTTGGAGGTTTCAAATGAAATTAATTACTCAACAACATTAAAATAATTTTAGTATTATTCTCTTCTTTTTGTAGTTGATGATATGAATTTGACTAAAGAAGGGCTTCTTTTTTTTTTTCTCTCCAATGTCTCTTACAAGTTCACTCTTGACCGATTATTGTAGTCTTCCATAGAAAATTGTAACAGTGGTTAATGATTTGGAGCAAAGTAAATTAATGTAAATAGTTTAAGGTCTTAATTGACTAACTTGGTAGGTCAAGGGATAAAATGATACAATGGTTCTGTTTGGTAAGGTTTATTTTCAGTTTATTTCAACTTTTAGCTTAATTTAAGCTGTAATTTTTTGTAAATCAAAAATTAACTTATTCTTTGAGTGGGGGAGGAGAAACTTAATTTATAAGTCAAAAATCAGCTTATCTTCACAATTATAAGTTATAAGCTGTTAAACTATAAGCTATAATCACTTTCTTACAGCTCAATAAGCTATAATCACTTTTTCACAGTTCTACCAAACAGGGTCAATGGCAATATGAATGTTTTTGCCAAACCATTGTAATGCCATTCATGATTTGGGACAAAATGAAACAATTTCAATAGTTTGCATTTACAGTGCTAATTATTAAAATTTTCTGTGTGATTAAAAAATAAATAAATAAATAAATTTAAAAATTAAAGCTTTTGTAGCCTCGTTTGGGAATAAGTTATTTTAGTAAGACTTTTTGGTTAAAATATAAGGTAAAAAAAAATTTGTATGCTTGGAATAATTTTTGATTTTTTACAAAAAAATGTACAAAAAGTAGAGAGAAAATGAAATTTTTGACTTTTTAATATAGTTTTTGGGGTTTTTTTAGTAATTTTTTGACTTTTAAATTAAAATTATTACTTCCCAAATGAGACCCTGAGTTCTTGATTTAAAAAAAAAAATTAACAATTAAAATATGTTGGAGGTAACGTACCCTCCAAATTTCTTAGGAAAATTTTCATAATTTTCTTAATGTAACACTTACGTTTGGTTTTATTTATTTGTCGAATTTTTTTACAAAAGTTTGTAAAAATTAGATTCGATTTAGTCAATCAATTTTGAAGTGGTCCAAATTTCTTAGGAAAATTTTCAAAATTTTCTTTTTAAAGTTGAAAAGTTAGCTGGATTTGAAATTTAGCCATATTCAATCAAATATTAATAAAAATTTTAAATTAAATTTTTTAAAAAACCTAAAATTTAGAAATCTTGAAACATGCACTCACGGTATATGTGTTTATTTTTCTGAGAAATTGTCTAATAGATAAAGATAATTATGAGTAATTGTAAAATTGAATTGGACACATCATATATTTTTACAAATAATTACTAAGTAATTTTGAAGTACTATTCATCATGTTAACATAATGTACTTAAAACATTAGAAACGATAATATTTTGATGAATGAAATTGATTAACCTTACTTTTATTTGAGATGTCAGGAAGTCAATTATCTTCAAATTATATTTTGTTTTTAGTTATTAGACTAAACATATGACTTTTTAGGTATAATTCTTTTCATATTCTAAATAATTTTCAATCAATTGAAAAAAAAAAAAAATCAACCAAATTTTTATTGATGTTAATGAAGAAAGTATTTGGGAATTGACTTTTAAATTTTTTTACAAAAAAAAATATGTAAAAAAGTAAATATAATGATTCGATAACATGTAGTAATAATCTTTTGACAAAAAAAACTCACATTTCTAAACAAGACGAGAAAAAATTAATCCTATTTAGGCCAAGTTTGGGAAGATCCAAAAAAGTCAAAAAGTCAAAAAGTTACTCAAAAAACTAAAAAGTTAACACTATTCACCAAAAGTCAATATTCATCAAAAGTTAACAATTACGGCTGCACAACTCCCAATTCAAATTTTTCTCTACAAATTAATTTTTACAATTTTTTATTACACATTTTTCAATAAAAAGTCAAAAAGTTAACCCAAATATCCATATTTTCAACCTCAATTTTTTAGTCCAAAAAGACAAAAAGTGCACTTTTTTAGTCTTCCCAAACTTGGCCTTATTGTGAAACTAATGAATTATTTTTTTATACCATATATACTTTCTTTATTTTAATTAATGAAAAAATTACATCTCAGTTCTTAGGAAAAAAAAAATTACAAAAAAATAATGAATTATATAAATTAAAATAATTAAAATCATAATTTTTTCATTAATATGTCATAATTTTTTAAAACACTTCAATTGTAATGTATCCTAAATTAGGTCTTGTTTGGAGACGGCATCACTCTCTCTATTTTTCTACATATCTTTTTTTAAAAAATCAAAAATTATCAAAAGAATCTATTCTCAAACAAGGCCTTAAGATTCATTTCGGAAGTGGATTGACTTTTTATTTTTTAGCTATTTTGCATGGGGCTAAAAAGTCTCGATTGGAAATGACTTTTTAGTCTTTTTTTTTTAAAATTTTTGTGAGAAAAAGAATATAAGAATTATGTATTGAATGTAATATTTTATTTTATTAAATTAAAAAATCTATTTTATTTTTTTTATAACTAAAATAATTCCGAACTCAACACAACCCTCCTTTCAAACCAACGCTTAATATGGAGTTGATATTGGTGCCCATAAAGCCGTTGGTGGGAACCCAGCCACACTCAACGCGGCGCAAGCACGCTGCCGTCCTCTCCTTATCTCCCTCCATCACCATCAACTTTTGGTATTGGGAGGTGGAAGCATAAGATCAACGACCAGTCAAAAGTAGAGATTCTATAGAATGATGAACTAAATGGTGAGAAAAATATTCACTACAACGGTGATAATATTATTTTACGTAATGTTAATGGCTGGTAAAAAATTACAAATAGAAATAATGGAAAATTTTAACTTAACTTAATAATGTTGTGATTCTTAATTTAAGATGAGATTGCTCATTAAATGTATCGGTGATATTATCATGTAGTGATTATTACTGTTACATCTAATATTTATTTAAATTTATGAGTTTAAAAAAATTATTTAGGAAATCTCATAATCGTAGATAGTATTTTTTTTTTTCATCTTTAAATCTTTTTTTTGTATGTAATTTTTTTTTAAAGATGAGATTTGCACTAAGAAATATTTAATTTTATAATGTAATTATTTTTTACCCTCCAATTGAAATACAATTAACACATTTATTTTGAGTCTCAAACACATCAGATCAGACGTCTCCAATGGAGCTTTGTGTACGAGATTGATATTTTTGATGATCCCCCGGAGTCACTTAAGGTCCGTTTGGAAAGAGTTTTTTCGGGTTTTTTTGGTTATTTTAATCACAAAAGATAAAATAGGCTATTTTAGTCATAAAAAACAAAACATCGTATCCAACCCATAATCATTACACTCTTCTCTCACAGAAAAAATCAAAAAAGCTAAAAAATCCTTCACAAATCAAGCTTTTTAGCCCAGACTAAAATAGTCAAAAAAATTAAAAAATTAACCCACATCCCAAACGGAGGCTTAGATTCCTTCTTGCGACTGGCATGGTCGGCACTGTGTATTCGAGGGACTAGTTTCCTGTAGATTTTGTTAACTTATATTAATGTATTTATTTCCGTTGAATTCAAAAAAAATAAAATAAATAAATAAATAAAATTAAGAATGTGATGTTAATGTTAAAGTTTTTATAGTCCATTTGGATCCGATTATACGGAAAGAAAGTTTTGTTTTTTTAAAAAAAAAAATTTAATTGTTATGTTTGGATTTGTTAAATTTGTTATAGATTTAATTTCAATGATTACAATTTTACATTTTGAAAAAAATATTTTATATATTATTGATGAAAAAAAATTAAATTGATTCAATAATCATAATTTTTATTTATATCTTTATTTTTGAAAAAAAGATAAGAGATAAATATTTAATTTTTTTTCACGAATTCACAATGAAATTTGAAGGTTGTCAATTTGACGGATTTGGGATCTTACCGTGACTAAAATCACAGTGGCCCTGTTTAGTAAAGCTGTGGGAAAGTGCTTATACCTTATAACTAAACA